CACCTTAATTGAGCCCAAGGGAATCGCAGAACCTCCACGATCCTCTCTGGGCAGCCCAGTTTGGGTCATGACAGAAAGAGAGGATGCATGGCCCCTGCAAAATGCGATGGAAAAATATTGTATTGAAATTAGGCAGACAGTGTTTGTGGGCTCAATTCTGTCACTGGCTCACAGTGCAATAAACTTTGTGTTAAAAAAACCTCATTTTGCATCTACTTACTTGTAACAGGATCAGTGCCATTTATGACATCCCACAGAGCAGGGATGCCTCACCTCTGCTGGGGCTTTGAGCACTGCCAGAGAGGTGCAATACAGACCAAAAAGCAGAGAATACAAGTCTGGGTAGCTTAAACTGGGGGTTCCTGGTTCTCTGCAAGGTCATGCGAACCCTTACAGGACCTGGAACATCCCCAGTGAGGTGGCTGGGGCATTTTCCATGTTATGCAAATGAGGGAGGGCAGGAATTCAAACAGAGACATCTCCTGCCCAGCTGAACATTCCCACCCCTTCTACATGCCAGCAGGGGTGTTCATCAGACCCTGCTGTGAGCTACTTCAGGGAACTGAACAAAAATAGGTTAGTGTCCCTGTTGGTTAAGCTCTCTGAACGACCTTCCCGTGGGCTGAGACAAGCCCCAGTGAGTGCACAAGGAGCACAAGACTGCACAGCTGGCGATGAGTGAAGGCAGCAGGGCCTGTGAGAGCCCTGCTGATCATAGAATCATAGAATCGTTTAGGTTGGAAAAGACCTTTAAGATCATCCAGTCCAACCTACACTACCAAGTCCACAACTAAACCAATCAAGGGTAGACTAGACTAAACCATCTCCCGAAGTGCCGCATCTACCCGTTTTTTGAACACTTCCAGGGATGGTGACTCCACTACCTCTCTGGGCAAACAGTTGTGGAACCCCACCGAGCCTTAGGCACAGCATCGATCTTCTTGGAAACTGGGGATCCAGCCTTCAAAACAAGCAACTTAAAGTGATCAGCAGTAAGATCCATGTTTAGTATTTTTAGCCTCTAAGTTCTGCCAGGCAGCTGGACTGAATAAAGCGCTTACAGGATGGGTGCCCACTGCTGAGCTACACTCCTTCACAGTTAGTGGAGATGACTAGCTCCAGAGCCTGGCTTTTTTCTTTAAATAAACCCCAACCAAATAAACCGCACCTCTCCTCTGACAGTGGCGGGGGAGCATTCACACAGCTCAGCTGAAGACAGCTATGATCTAGGTACCGAAGCAGCTAGCGCCTTCGCTATACGTACAGGGACTGCTCTAGGTAGAGTTGCTCTTATTTCCAGACCAAGATTGATCGTCACGTTCCTTTGATATCAGCTGGGAATCACAAATTAATTATTACTTGTTTCAAGGATTATGGAAGTCAGTCAAGGCTTGGGAAGGTTATTTTAAAAGAATGCCCACGTTTCTAAATAATAGATTATGTGTGACCATATGAAGGCGCACCCACTGTATTTATAAAAGTACAACATGAGATGTTAGCATTTTCTTTTCATGAAAATACTTAAGATCACTTTGTGAAGATGGTGCTGCTCAGTATGCATCAGGTTAGAGTTGCAGATTTACCTCAGTATGAAATTGAAACCTGTGTGTGCTGTGAAAAGTGGGAACTTAATACTTCTTTACTGTATCTCACTTTTTCCATGCAAAATGATTCACTTACTAGCAAGACAGTTCTGCTGGTGTTATCAATGCTGTAACTCATGACACCTTTAAGCTTAAGCCTCAGTAAGCTTTCTGCAGCATGAATAAACACCCACGCTAGCTGCTTCATTGACCACACAAACATTTACTACCACAAAAGACACATTTACTAAAATAAACTCTCAAAAGCTATCTGGTCAAAACTTACCAACCTTTGGACAAAGGTTTAGATTGCTGCACTGTGCTGCAGCAGAGTATGCTTTCTGTAATTGCAAAACAGGAGATCAGTAACCTTTCAAGCGAATAAGCCAGTTGCATTTGGCTGAAATTCAGTTTCTTTCTTCAACCAAGCGGCCTACAGCCACATTGTTTCAAAGACACAAGGAAAAACTGAGAACATGAACTTACCTAAAGCCTTTACTTATGTTTGATACAAGTCAGACAGATACACAAACTCTCTGCCTAGCTCAAACCCACATTATTTCAGGATGTGAGATGCCGTGATGAGGTGACAGGGTTTCTGCATACACAGAGTCCCTCCTGGTGCCAGTTCTATGCAGTCATTATTCTTGAATAGCACTTTTTTTTTTAAAATATACATTCACATGTTCACCATATGGTAGGAAAAAAGCTGAAAACATGTACTTTTTACTCCTTGTATAGGTAAATAAAGTCTGAAATATATCAGATCCGCCGAAACAGTCTTGTTAACAGTAGCGTGATCTTCACACAAAATCCTCATTACTCCTAGCATTAAAGAAACACACATTAACCAGAGAGAACAGTTGAGCTGGGTGCTAAATGCCTCATATGTTTTGTGAGCCAAACATTCCTGCAATTACTAAGAATGTGAGAAATTAAGGGAAAGCTAGTGTTAAGTAGGAGCAAACTCTGTAAGAAAGCATTTGAGTGAGAAAGATCTTTAATACCGATATAAAACTTCATCTCTGCAAGTCAACTGCTCTTTCAAAGAATGTTTTGAAGGAAAGCTATCCAAGCGTTTTAGTGGAACGATAGTTCTTCATTGCTGTAGGGAGATGGCTAGCTCTAGCTGCTCCACAGGAACAGAACATCAAACAGTCCTAGACACACAAAAGCTTTGATTACAATTAAAAAAAAAAGAAAAAAAAGCAGTGCTACAAGCCTCTGCACTGCTAGCACTGGTGGTGACAACACTGAAGATCTGGAAGACCAGCACCCCAAAATTCACTTGCCCGGTTTGATTGAGCCCTTTTAGTGTGATCATGCTGAGCACCTCCTGAGACTTTTGATAAAAAGTAGCAACAGACTGAGAAATGGGCTGTATCAAACACAAATTCACACTGAATTGGCTCACTCCACTCTGCACAACTTTCAATACAAATACATTCACTCTCCAGATCAGAAGTTCAGAAAGTTTTAAAACATGAAAAACAATTTTAATGAGCCACTTGACATGCACAGTTTTTCCATATAAAGTCCTCTTTAGGTTATTACTTGTAAGATTTTACCTAGGTTAACTTAAATCCAGAAAATTTTAAAACTCTGCTAATAAATATCTAGAGCCATTAAGCATTTTCAGTTTTTCCATCAGCAACTGTTTAACTGAACAGAACCCACCCATAGAACAGACATCCATCCAACAGATACACACAACAGGAGCAGTACAGAGATACAGCCATGTCTGTAAATTCTTGCCATGATCCCTGCCAACCTCGACCTGGACTTTCTGGCAAGGGTCTCACAAAGCTGTATGTGTTGTCATTAATAAAAGCCACTCCATTAATTATATCTGCAAATTTACTTTAAACCCTGAGGACCACCAGATGGCATTCCAGGCAAGTACTGAGACTTTACTATTTTTATATGCTACTTACTTCAAAAGCATAAGCATGATGTTAACACCACACTAACGTACCAGTGTACTTACTCAAAGTTTCCCAGTCTCCAACTGTGAGAAGTGAAAGTACTTTTGACTTGACCTAAACCTTTAAGTGATCCTTAGCAGTAATCAGTGATTTCAGTTAAGAGTTCAGATTCTAATACTGCCACAGTGAAGTACATTTTAGTTGTTAATTAGAAGTGGAAACTTACTGTCTGCTTGTGCCTTCTCTGCACTCTAAATGTAGTCATCTTTTCTCCTGTTTCGAAAAGCTTCTCTAAAAGAAGTTCTTAAAAAAAAATGGAATAAGTTAGGTAGTTTAAAAAGCAGTGTTATTAATCTAGAAAATTATATCTATAAACTAGACTGACTGTAAAACTATATACACCTTCCAGAAGATATCCTGCACGTAAGACTAAATCCCAAATATTGGAATAATTGTGTTGATTCAGCTATTCAGTTCCATACACCTTGGTGTTCAAGTTCCCAGCCTAACAGCTGTTATTCCTGACTACAACTGAGAAGGGAAAAAAGGAGAGGTAAAATTCCTGACCAGTAACGTGGATTAAATGTGAAGATATCCCTAAAGCTTAATAAATTATGATCGAGGATAAATGGCTAAGGAGTCAATAGCTTTTGCAACAGCTGCAGGAGATAATGTGCAATCACAGTCTCTAAAGCTTAAACACATTAAAAGGTTTTCCAGTTCATAGGTTTTTATTCTAACCTCACTTCACTCTATCACCATTGGGAGAAAAAAAGAACTACCAGCTCAACTATCCAGTGTTTAAATGATAGAGAAAATAAGGTGGTGTCACAGATGTTTCTGTAATGCACCTCTGCCTCACCACAGCAGCAAAGCTAGTCCCTAATTATTTCCGATTAAGCAGATTCTTTATGCTTAGATACCCTAGTAACTGACTGATGATGATGATAACCTCAGTGGTCAGTGCAACTCAGACTTGTGCTGTGGACAGGTGTACACCATAACCATTTGCTATAAGGAAATGGTACCAAAAGGAGCAGCTGAGGAAACAGTGTTTGCTATGGCACACATCCAGAGCTGTTTGCCTTTTCTTCCTTTCAGCATCGCCATTTGCTACAGTGTTTTTAGTTTGGTGAGGGCAGAAAGGCTCAATCACACCAAACATTTTCTCTTTCTTTAGGACACAGTTTTATTGTCGAAAGTGTTAACTCAGCTCTCCGATAGGTTTCCACTTTCCCCATGTTACAGTATTCCCCAGAGAACAGTCTTAGTGCAGATAATCAACAATTCCAGCTCTCTCTACTTCAGGGGAGCTGTGACAATTTACACCTACTCAAGACCTGCCTCCCTATGTTTCCATGTTGAGACTGTTGTAAGATAGCTGCTCTGACACGCAGCATCACTAACTGTTCAGAAGAGAGCACCCACAACACAATAAAGCAGTTCATCTGCTTTTAAGTGGGAGTTGAAACCTTTTGGATGGATTAAATCTCACGTGTAGATGGCAAGAATGAAATTCTTGTTTGAGAATTAAGTAACATATGAAATGGATTTGCGATGTTCTTAGAACACCAGGAGTATCACAAAATGGCAGTTTCCCCATTTTTTGCACTCTTCTCTAAGCAGTGCCTAATTTGCACGTGGTGAGCATTTGTTAGATTCACCATTCTTCTTGGTTTCTTCAGCTCCCCGCAAATCAATACAGATCTTGTCTTTAAGGTAAGGACTGCACTGGACATTCCATCTCACGGAGTGACCAATCCTCCTTTGAGCAAACAGGTTTGAAGAAAACAGGAGCAGATGAAACATAAATCCAGTTTGTCTTCAGTACAAAGCCACTGATTTTCACCATTTGTTTTAATTAAGGCTTCACCAAAAAGAAATATATAGTACCATCTTTAATAGCTGAAAATTAGCACACTCCTTTCAGAACAAATGGTCCAGGAGTGACTTTTGTGTCTCTACCATCAATTGTCTTCCTGAACAAAGTAGTATCTCACTGGCGGCCCTGGCAAGTCTTCTTCTCCATCAGTTTCTGGAGCAAACGATACCGTCAAATCCACGTACTTCTTATCAGCTGATGGTTTCACAAGCTTTTGCATCCTACAAGGAAACGAGGAACAGTTTGTTAACATACCAGAAGAAGGATTGGCAGTGGGAATTCAGGGCCAGACTAGGATGAATTTCACTGCCAGCAATGAAGCCAAACATACTAGAAACCAGATTACAATGGAGAATAAGCCACCTTTTTAATTTTGACACAAAAGCCATTCCTCCACCTGAGGTATAGCAAATGGTATTCCATGTTCTTGATAGACGTAGCCCATTAGTGAGCTATTACATTGTTCACTAACAAGTGCTCAGTACAGAAGAGAAAATGGCCAGTTTTGGATGGGATTCCTCACAGACATAATTACTCTTTGGCGTCCTACTGAGGCACGGGGCAAAGTCAGCTTTCTGTGCAGGATTTTGATCAATGAGGACGAGTAAGTTGTTGGTCTACCAATAATGGCTGGTTTTAATATGTTATTAGGGAGAACCACTCCAGTGCAGACACTAGATACATAGTTCTGGTGGAAAGTAATTCTATTGGGGTTAAGACTTGTTCAGTCCTTGAATTTTGAAGGTGAATTGCAGTGAGGGAGGAAAAACAGCCAGGATCTGGGACTTCTTCCTTTGTGACCACAATGTGAGTTTAAAGTAGGTAAGCGTGTCATGTCTTCATGCAAATTCCCCTCTTTGCTCTCCGCAGTCTCAAAAGCTACAGCTATTGCTTGGAAGTTGCACAATAACATACTGAAGTAGAAGGCCAATCAACCTCACTTTCATTACATATCTTTGGATGTCTCAAAATTATTTTCTTGCCAACTCTGAGCACTAGTTCATGAGGCCAGCTTAAATGCTAGGAGGCTGGAGGAATACAGTCACTCATTTCTATTCCTCACAGGTCACTTGGAGAAGGATTCCCCTTCTGGCTCTGCTTCAGCACACAGGTCAAAAAACTGCTTTTCACAAAGTACTTGTTCCCTTGCAAGAACACAAAGCGTTAGCCTCTTCTCAGCAAGAGATACTGAGGTCATATCCATTTGCATGAGGAAGCCCCAACCTACAGAGCAGGGCACATAACTATGTCTCTAAAACTTGCTTTTAAGGAGTATGCTACCAGTCAATGCTGTAGTTCTGAAATGAAGACAGAGTCTTGCAATGCTTGTCATATCACAGCAAGAGAAAGATTTTAAAAGCCTTACGAAGAAATAAACACACAAGCAGGACAAAACTTTGCTCTGCAAATATCTTATAGAGTGTTTGGGACTGTTTGTACCAGAACCCCAAGTTGCTGTAACAACGTGGAAAGTTTGAACTGAGTCTCGGGTAATAAGAAATCCTGATATTCACAAGGTGGCAGCTTCAAACCATGCCTCTGACTTCATTACACACCCCTCTCACGATTTATACAGCTGTAGGAGAAGTAATTTCAACAACTTATTTTGAGATAGGCTGTAAATTCATATCTTAGTATGCCAGGCACCAGTACCAAATTAGGTAGTACCACCAGGCAGTACCAACTTAGAGGCTCTTCTCCCCCTAGAAGTTTGAAGTAGCTTGCCCATAACATATACTGCTTTGCCTGACGTTACCTACTGGCAGACCTTCGAAACAGTACTGATCAATGCACCTACTTGCTCTAGCAAAACCTGTGAGCACTGACCACTGTACACTTCACAGGAGCTGCGAGGAACAAATTTTAAGCTAAAGAAGTTCAATTAACATACAAAGCAGAACTAAACCTGGGTGAGATCTGGCTGTTACTTTGCAAAGGCCTGTCAGTCAAAACCCAGCACCCTGCCCTCACACCCTCCCAAACTTCCAGTTTGTTGTACCCCAATTTCCTGTCAGTGAGCAGCACCGCAAAGCCTTGTGAATGTCTTCGTTTTTAAAAGGGCTAAAGTGAGCTAGAATCTTAAGGAATTACTATGAACTGAGCAGACTTCCAGAAATCTCAATCTGCAATCAATACATTATTTCCCTCCTGAGTAAGTGTTGTCATTCTTTCAGAGCTAAGTTGCTAAATATCACCATTAGTTCTAAGCCAGTTTAAAAAGGTTCAATTAGTCTTGTTCTGCTTGAACCAAGGTACATTCTTCCCCCAAAAACCCTTATTGTCAGACTTCTTTGGGTTCCTCATTCTGGCATTCATCTGTTAGAGTAGCATTTTGCAAGTCTCCTGCCCTCACCACAGACATTAATTCACTTTCCCTTTTTTTTTTTTCCCAAAAGGAAGAAATTACTTTTTTTCCTTCCCAAATATTAATGACTAGCAAGCACTTTGAGAGAAAACATTGCTGTCAGACACACGATACAATCAGTGAACATAAGTTGTATGTGCACTTGTATTCATTGATCCATTTTGTAGTTATACTTACGTCAGCTTTAATCTTTTAATATGACCTGGCATCACAGGAACATACAGCATTTTGACTCCTTGTACCACCATAGTTGGTTCAATTCCATATTTTTCCTGGAGTTCACAAATTAAAACTTATTAAAGGACTAGGACAGCTGCACAAGCCAGCAGATACTACTACTGCTAATATTACAAATCAAAACCATAGGATCCCAACCACGAAACTTGCTAATGCATGGATGCTGACAGCAGTTTTAATAAGATACATTTGAGCCAATCGAATTAACAAAGAATTTGAAAATAGGCTTGGACGCGTTTACTTAGAGACATTCCCGTTGACACTAATTCTTTCTAGAATTACTCTGATTTGAACAATAACTTGATGAAAGAAAAAAAGCAAACAACCCCAACCCCCCAAAAAACCAAATGAACAATCCAAAACAAGAAAACCCTTTCCACTCATATTAACCCAGTATAATAGATGGTAACTTACTCTGACAGCATTTATGAAATCCAACAGAGTAAAATCCTCTTTCCCATAAATTGTCCACCTGTCCCAGATTGTAAATGATATCCCATTTCTGTTTTAAAAAGAGAAAGGTTGTTTGTTACTTTAGAACATGAACTCAGGCACTTCCTTTAAACATGCACTGAAGAACTGCTCTTTCTAGAGACGTGCTGTTTTATCTTGAGGAAAAAAATCTCTTTCCTCTCTGCTTCCATTTCTCCAGTGCTTTGACCTGGCTAAGCACAACACACAGTAAGAACTCTGAGAAAACATTGGTATCTAGCAATGAAATGACTGAGTTTCCAGACCTGCTGAAAAACGGCTCTTGTATTGACTAAGGTGCAGAAGTGTGTCCAGCCTGTGCAGACAGGATATTTATTAAAAACCATGCTGCACATCTAACTCATCTAGATTTTTAAAGCCTCACTAGCAACAGCTTCCCCTGAGAACAAAACTAAGCCCTTAAAACCACTATTTTTAAAATTAGGACAGAAGAGCATGTGCTGCATTTTCCAAACAGGAAGTTCTTGAGCAATGCATTATGGGACACCCTTGGTGGTACTAAGAATATCACTTACACCTTTAGCAGTACATAGTAAATGGATAATAGAGTTTCATAGCAAGCACTAAGTGATTCATGATCTCCCAAGTTTAAAGAACAACAGAAAAATAACCCTCAATATCTCTAACATTTAATTGGAGTATGACCATGAACTGTGGGTCCACCACAGTTCTGCTATGTGAGCACATAAGGCCTTAATGTGGTTTGCTGGATTTAATAATGCTACAAACTTTGCACTTCTTGTAACGGCTCACCAAGTCCTAAGCAACAATTACCAGGTTTCCAAATACCACCCTTCTGCCACTGTCCTTCCTACCTGATTTCAGTTCTTTTTACTTCAGCAGTTTCTGTAAAGACCATTATGGGAATGGCTAGGTTCAGAAAACAGTTCTTGTATGCATCAGCTGGGTAGCCACCCACAACTTTGATGAGTTCCAGTGCAACCTGCAGTAAATAAGAATCCCATACTTCCATAAGACCAAACACAGGTTTTAGGTACTGTGTTATCAACACTAGCTTAGTTAACAGGGCAGCAACTACAGAGTAAGTAGTTAATGAGATCAGCCTTTTTCCAATCGGCAGAGTAAATCACATCTAGAGGTGCAACCCTATATGCCACAGATATCAATTCTGTTGCTGCTAATGGAAATATTTAAAATTTTCAAAAGCGCTCCTAATGTAAGACTCTTCCAAAATTGTTTAATTCAAGACACCTCCACAAAGCATGCAGTTCTGTTGAGGTGCATGGATGTGAACTACTACAGAACATATCCTTTCCACTCTTGGCAGTGGCACTCTGATGGAAGTCAGTATTAATTGCAGAAAACAAGCCAAAATGCTGACCTCCAACCAGAAATAAAAGCACCAAGGGCTTACCACATCTAGAAACAAGAGCGACCTTTTGATTGGTACATGAGAAAAAAAGATTTTTAAGTTTGAGATAAACCCATTTCTTTAACAAGGCTCTGTCAGGGTAGTGTTAATCAATATCCAGACAACAGTGGTTTTAGGCAAGGAACAGTAAGAGAAAGAAATATGCATTTTAAGCATTTTAAAAAGCATACTCACCAGCCCTGATACTGCAGCAGTAGCTGTTGCAATTGCAGGAATAATCTTCCCAGCAATGCGCTTTGTTTTGAACCTATCTGCTGGTTCGATGTTGTACATCTTGGCTCGCAAGTTTGATGCTGCTGTTATGAAATCTATATGCCCATTACTATCATCATCTTTTTCAAAGGAGATGGGCTTCATTTGCAAGTCATCTGCTCATAAGAAAAAAAAAAGGGCAAAAATTATTATTAGAAAACTGAAGATGTTCTAAACATAAGTTATAGGGAACTAGAACCTTAAATTAAAAATTTCACATTCTGGAGCTTGGTGCCTTATTTGTAACTTGCTTTCCCATGCTAGAAGCAGAAATGCCCCTACCAATACCCGCTGTTAAAAGTGAGTAATGAAAGAAATATCAGCAGAGCTCTGTAATTTTATTTTCCTTGCAACACCTGCAAGAGATTTTGGACAGCCCAATGAATGTTTCTCACACACTCCACCTCGCTATAGCTCCGTTCTGTGAGAATTCCCTCTATAAGCTTTGTTTATCTGTAACCATTTCACTACAGACTCAGTAGCATGGGAGACAAAGGTTCAGCTTGATGCTTCATGGGATGGGTTAGAGCTAAGCTAATCTTTCTCCTCTGTGTTCACTACATGCATATAGTTGTTGCCCAGTGACGTCTTCATGTGGCCAGGCACAAAAACGTGATTCAAGCATTCTCATTTTAACATATCTAGAAGATGCTGAAGAAGACTCTAACAGCCTTCACATTTTAGCATAATTTCAGATTGATTCCTGTAAGTAGTAACTCTCAACTGTCTCATACCAGAGTCACTTTCAGTCCATCTGGGATCTAGCTGGCACCCTTTCCCTCCTTAGAGTTCAATTCCTTACTGCCTGCTCGCTGCTATCAGGGTTGCACTTACATGCAAGTATAACAGAGAACCCTAAAACTTGCAGGAATCTCAGAAATACAGAAGCATAGGGTAACATCAAGCAATAAGGACAGTTATCTGCATGACACTTCAGAAAGCTTTAGATATCAGCTATCTGCTTCTTGCAGAATTACAGAACTGCTTTATCCAAAGACCTGAATGTCATGCTACTGGCAGTGCAGCTGCAAGATGTTAACTAAGCTATGAAGATAGTTTGCACTACTCACTTTCCAGAGCTTCATTGGATAGTATAGACTTCTCCAGCTGGAAAATAGCATTTCTTTCATCCTCACTGCTGACTGGAATATGATCTGGTTTTCTTGCAGTTTCATCAGTCTGTACAACCTGAAAGCGTATGCAGTGCTTGAGTAATAAAATACATGAACTTTGTACAGCACAAGTGTGAAGTGTACTAGATTTCCTGTCTTCCCTGCAGTCTTTCCTCCCCAGTTCAAGAGAGACATAGACTTGCTGGAGCAAGTCCAGCCAAGGGCCACAAAGATCATTAAAGGATTGGAGCATCTCTCATATGAGGAGAAGCTGCGAGAGCTGTGATGGTTCAGCCTAGATAAGATAAGTCTCAGTGGCATCTTATCATGTGTATAAATATCTGATGGGGGGAAAGTACAGAAGGCAGAGCCAGACTCTTTTCACTGGTGCCCAGCGACAGGACAAGGGGGTATGGGCACAAACTGAAGCATATAAAATTCCATAAGAAACATAAGAAAATACTTTAAAGAAAAAACAAACAGGAAAACACAACCAAAACTGTGAGGATGGTTGAATACTGGCACAGGCAGCAGACAGAGGCTGTGGAGTCTCCATCCTCAGAGATATTCAAAACTCAATGGGACACAGTCCTTGACGACCTGCTTTAGCTGCCCCTGCTTGAGTAAGTGGATTGGACAAGGCAGTCTCCAAAATCTTCCAACCTCAACCACTCTGTGAATCTGAGTCAAAATAGCGTTTTTGTCTCACAAGGCAAGCATTCATGAGACCAGTGCTAATGCTGAGCAAGCAAATATGAAAACAACCTGAAATACTTGCTAATTTTAAATGATGGTGAATGCTAGCCACTGCACAGTAACACTTAAGCTGTTTTGAAGTTAACACTTAAAAAGAAAACCATAGAAGTAATGGCACTTCCTTTATATTACCTAGAAAGAAATAACAAATTGACACTAGTCTTGGATTGCTTTAAAGTTGCTTATGAGTAAAATTTTAGTACTTTTATGAAAATAGCATAGACTCATATAAACTTAAAAAAAGCTTGCACAGTTACAATCACTTTCATGCATAGAGAATGATGCTACAACAAATCATTTGCAAAAGGCAAAAAAACCCCACAGCTTGCATTTAGCATCTGGTACATAGATACCTTAGCTATATCAAGTTAAAGTAGTCCTGTATGCCCCACTCTTGCTTCCCCGAAACACATTCTAATTTGTGTTTATTTCTCATCAGCATCAATGCAAGTAGCAGCTGAAGATGTGGGACAGTGCTTGTGGAATTTTTTTTTTCTTTACAATAAATATCACACTTACTTTGTTTGAAGGTCTAAACTCTGGTACCTTCACAGCTGAAATAATCTTCAAAATAGTTTCCTCTGACAAATCCTGTTATAGTTTTGAAGAAAAAAAAAATTAAATTCACATCAACTCAAAAAGGCCCCCACAAAAAGACTGTATACCCAGTAGCATTTCAAAGAGTACCAAAACCAAGAAATCCCACAAGTATTCAATGACGTTTCAGTGAAACATCATCATTGAAACACCAAGTGACATTTCAGTTGCCACGGTGAACCAGAGTAGTGTTAAGTGCCTAGCACTTGAAAACTGAACAGAACTGAAGTTTAAACGCGACTTACAGGAAGATCCAATTAGACAAGAAAAAGGTTAACAAGAAAAACAAAGGATAAGCAACACAGAGGCTGTGAGTAGTAAAAAAAAAAACTCCCAGACCATAGCTAATACACTTAATTTAAAAAATGCCTTAAAGAGATCTTCTTTCAGTTCAGTTATTATACTGCACAGGAAATATGTCCATCAAAATAAGAATTCCCAAGTTCAGTGCTTACTGAAAATACCCAATACACTACTCATTTCTTCTCTGTGTTAGGGATTTAAATAAAGACAACTAAATGTAAGCAGTTGCTGAACAGCCAGTGCTGGAGGATGGATTACTTTAAGAATCACTTTAATCAGTTCTTGGAAAGAACTGGCAACTGGACATCGGGCCAAAACCAAACACATACATCCAAGTTATGCAATGGGAACACTGTTACAGTATGGATTACCTTTTCTGTGAAAGGAACACAGTACACTGTTGCGAAGAGTTTTGCTGCGCTCACAATGAAGCCATAGTGCCTGAAGAAGAGAGAAAGATAATTATTTTTGTTTAGTTGTTTTTTTAAATTCAGTTGCCCAAAGGTTTGCAATCATATTCAAAGAGGTCTTGAAAACACAGAGAAATAGAATTTCCACCCTTCAGTGCACACAGTACAAAACAGATGACAGATTTTGAGGGACTAAGAAGTCCTCCCCAAAACTAAGCAAGCTTTGATGAGTGAAGAGTTATTTAATGAAAACCGTATTTCCTTAACCTCTGTAGTCAAGAAAACAACTACAAACGCTCACGTGACATCAATATGATAATAAAAAGCTTCATCTCAGAAATACTTTGCTATTTGCTGTGATCTCAGTTTTCACCCAAACTAAAAATGGCAATCCGGACAGTATCTCAAAGCAGATGTAGATACGCAGCACGTAAAGGCTTTTCAATCCTTCAACCACATCAGTTTTTCAAATGCTCTGTAATACCCAAGCCATCTAGATCAGACCCAAATTGTGATGAAGGGGGGTCTCCACTAGGTCATTTTAGGTAGTCAATTTAATTTGGCACATCCTGCATTTCATGATACAGCCCGCTGGGGGCATGGGGGGTACAAAAGCAACAATTCAGTAATTCTGTAGTCACACAATAAATGAAATGGGTTGTTCTAAGCCATTTCACATTAGTAGTTGTCAGAACTTCCCACAGCACCCTCCAATCCCATCTCAGTGAAAGTTAAATTACCTGCAGTGAAAGTACAAGGCAGCTCACTGAATCTGCCACAGCCTAAGACTATGCGCTAGTACTTATCAAGTACCAGTCCAACTTCCAGTGCTATAAAACCACTGCCTTGCACTTTCTGCTGTAGGGTGAGTTTTACAGGATGCTATAAAACACATCAGTGGCAGTACCGTACTTACAAAGGATCATTAAATTCAAACTTCACCGGAAAAGGTGGCCTCTTTGGTGATTGCCAAAACAAACCTGGTAAGAAGACAGACTTAAGATGAAATCCTAAGGAATCAGGAACAGCAACACATGACATAGGCCATGAATTCACAACAGGCACAAAGGAGCATTTGTACTTACTTCCATCTTTTAATCGTGTATCAAGGGGAAATGAATGAAGGAGCTGAAGAGCCTAGAGGAAAAGCCAGAACAGCTTTAGTAATTTGTCATATACAGATTGACATGGTCACACCAAATCAAGCCTTCTTTTTAGTAATGATATGAAATCTTGATACAGCTTTTAAGACACTCCAATATGTAGTTCAAGTAATTTAAAGAATTAAGAAAATCTAAGATGCCTGTGTCAAGATGGAGAGCTTACAGACACAAGGACTACTAGATAAAGTGACCTACCCATTCACTCACAGGACAAAGATGGCAATGTCACCTCATCTGTCCAAAGTCCAAGCAAGACACTTAATCCAACAAGCAAAGCATTCCCCCCACCCTGTTGTCACTTTAAGATACTTGCATACCAATTCACAATTGGGAAAGCAATGTTTTCTCAATGTGACAACTACTACCAGGGCTTCCATACACACAGGTATGATATGTTTATTAACACACCATCACAATTACATCTTTCCTACAAAATTACACACACACACACACACTTTAAGCAACACTGTGGACCAGATTCTCAGAATGACTGGCTCTTATTTCAGCCAACTTTCTGTGACATCTTTGAGAAGAATCAGGGATATGAAGATGAGTTCAGTAACAAAAGTTTAGTGAGGGAAACAAAAAGCCACTGTCCTTTAGTAAAAGACATCTGATAATCCTGGTGCTCTGGAAAAACAATGCCTAGGTCAGATGGAAAAATGCCAAGAAAACTGCATGGAGAATAGTGAACAGAGCCACTAGGAGTGAGTTAATAAACCAGACTTAAAAGTGCTCCATTAGAAAGAGGAAGGGATACAGCATTTTTAAGTTTCAAGTACAGTTCGTTATTTGTGAAGAGAGGGAAGTGAGTGCACAGACTTGGACGCCTAGTTATTAGGGCTACCAAGTTTTCTAAAATCCTCATCGGTCTAGCGCCACCTCATTTCCAGATCTTACCTACCTTATGGCTAAAATACTTCTCAAATTTTACTCTTGCTAGTTCCACACATTGAGTCCAACTTCGGGGTCTTCTACTGAGTGTTTTAATAACATGAAAACAGCCTTCTAAGCTCTCCCCTGATTTTATTCTCTAGATAGAGAAGGAAATATGAAAATGTTAAAACAGACAAGATTCCTCGTAATCCAGTGAAACAGTAAATATGTTTTTAGTAAGTTACAGACAAAAGGAAACAGAGGGTTATGTGATGCTCTCCACTGTGGTTTTGCCCAGGTGCTGTGGTCTACTTGATTTATTTCCACCCAGCCCTATGGACCATAGGCCATTATAGACTCACATGAAAAGATATTAAGCAATTGAGTCTAATTTATTACACAGTTTAATGTGCTTGAAACTAAGTCTTCCCTTCATTCTTCCCAGCTGGCTGCACATCAACGTGACATCTACTATACACTCGCTAGCAGTGCCTCAGTATTTCTGATGTTTCTACATCATGTACAGAGCACACATGAGCTAAAGCAGCAGCCCATGCATGAGACTTTGGCTCTTAATTATGAGACACACCAGAAATACTGTTCCCATGAAAGATCAGCTAATGACTTGACCAAGCAAGTCTCCAGGTTTTCTGAATAAAGTCAGAAAAAAAACCAAATCTCCCTGCACTTAAATAGAAACAAGATCCATAAAGCATTAGTTTAAACCCCATATTTTACCCTGGCAACATTCCCCTACCTGTAAAACATCTTCTGCGGATGGATAGGTTTGCCAGAATTTGTTAAACAATGAAGGCTTGTGAGAAAATGAACTTTCAAACTAGAAAATAAAAAGAACAAACATGGCATTTTGCGAGAAGTATATCAGATCCCCCACCTTTCCAAATACACATTAAGTTATGCTGAACATCAGTAAGCTTATTCCCTTACCTTATCTCTTGCCCACTGTATCGTATGCTCAATGGCAGCTGGGAAAGACTTCAAGGTGCAAAAAGGTATTTCTTCTTCTGGTGGATCCCGCTGTAATTAAGGGGAGTTGCGTGTAAATGCAGGCTTATTAAAGTTTATTGCTAATAAGAGCACCAAGAATTTCTAGACTATGTAAGTTTAAAACTCCGTTATAAAATACAAGTTGGCTTATATATGCTTAGAACAAAATCTGTTTTATTAACACTAACATATCACTTCCTGTTTATGAAGAATAGTCTAAACTCAACACTGGAAAGCAAAACTGAACTCTGAAACACAACAGAAGAAATTGCTAGCCAGCTTTTCCAAGATGTGCAGTTCACATTCATGTACACCCTCAACATGAAATATGCCCTTTCGTTCAAAGGCCAGAAAGACTTCTTTCTTTGTGGACCCTAGCAAAGCCATTAGGATGCTCAAAATCGTGTCCCTGTGTCCATGGGGCACCATTTCATGGTGTTCTCAACCAGTGAATTTCTACCTTGTAAAGGCAGTTTCACCAGAAGTTAAACAGAGGGACACGGCAAGAGTTTGAAGGCTCATTTCCCCCTTCCCCATTCAAACAGAACTGTTATGTATGCTTGTAGAAACTGGCAGACTAATTCCTTCTACAGAGTTTCTCCTGTGTTTCTCCTACTTGCCTGTGGAGGTGATATTCACCAAGAAGAGAATGAGCAGGCAGAAAGCAGTTCTACAAAAGAAACCCACAAGTACAAAACCAGTTTGCAATGCCATTGTAAGACTAGATTCTTATTTAGAAGGGAGTTTTCAAGGGAAAAGAAGTCAGTCCCTTGGAAATGCTTCAGAATTAGGACTTTTTCCAAAGCTTGTGTTTCATGATTCATATAGTAATTGCTTTTAATTATTGGCCTAGGCATAATCACCAGCTAGGCAGCAGACATGGTATCTCCGGTCTGCTCAAATTTTATTTCCTGTGAGCTTTTCTTCAGAAACCAAGTAATTATTTCCTACCAGTACTGAACTTCAGCAACTCAAATAGGTCACTTATTTTAGACAGATATATAAATGATTAAAGAATCAGAGGGCATTATGGGACTAGCTGCAGAAGGTAAGCAATGGTCTTAGAACACTTACGTGACTATTATAGGACTCTGTCAGATGGGGCACAATAACTTCTGTGTGTCCTTTTGTTCCCATAGTTCCAGAGTCTATAAGAGGACGCAGGTTTGCTACACAACGGCTGACATGGAAAGACAAAGACTATCAGAATACAGCGTAATCACTGCATTCTTGCCTTGCAGACATTACTGGAGTATAACCAGAATTGACTCTAGGCACTTTCAGAAGAGTGGAAAGCTTACACCAAACTTGGGAAAAGAAGTTATTTCATGTTAGATCAGGATACCATAAACCTGCGCCTACCTGGATTAGGAGCATGAGCAATTCTTTTTAAATGTAAACATCCCTACTTATAAATTTAAATACGTATTATTATACATAAGTAATTCAACCTTAAGACTGCCACAGTATTCTACCTCTCATCAGACCTTGACAGCTCTTCTTTTCCAAGAACTCACTCCAAGCCTCTGTGCCATGTGAACAGTAGCAGCCACACAACAGCAGAGCTGGTTTCCACCATGAGTATAAACCCCTTCCTCCCCCCAGCCAGCATCCCTATAAAGCAGCAAGATAAATCTGAGCAATTTGTTATCAGATCTTATAAGCAGTTGCAGATCAGGAAGAATAGGAAAGCAGAGTTCACATAAGAACATGAATAGCAGCCCTCACTTCCTTTCCACAACCTACCTATCAATGTATCTCCTTGCCTCAACATTGTCCAAAGCGGTCACAATCACATCTTGCTTGGCATAGAATTCATCGCTGTAAGTGTTCTCAGTGGCTGGACAAACTTTATTAATATACGAGTCAATCTTTAAGTAAGGATTGATACTCAGAGTTGCTTCTGCTGCAGTATAGCTTTTAGGTTTCTGAAAGTATAAATATATATATATCAACAATATTCAGATAAAGAACATCTGGCACACAGAAGTATTGACTTCATTTGCTGATCAGACAACAATTCACTGATAGAAATGTTAGTAAGCAAAACATACAATAAGGGAAATTCTTTAATCATATATCTCCCTCACTAATAAATATCTTATTAATCTAGTTTCATTTTTAGTTTTATTTAAAATAGTGCGTCAGAGACCACAAGGTGAAAGTGCTTAAATGGTGCAGCAGAAGCATATCAGGTAACTGAAACCAATGCCACATGCTGGCTCTCAAAATTCCATATGAAAGGAGCAGCTCATGACTGTCAGAGGATAAACCCATTTGTTATTGTGACTGTGTCTATGCAGCATAGACATCAAACACCTGTGAATAATCACATTACTGCAAGGCATTACACACAAAGCCAATTTCAGAAGCTAAACTGAAATAGAGTTCTTAACCTACCCGACACTTCTAGCCATACTACATTCATTACCTAGGGATCAGCACTTAGAACAGTAGAACCCAAGACAACACAGCTTCTGAAAGCTTGCAGAGTTCACCTTCCATTTATCTATCCAAACAAGATGTAATGTTCCCAAATTTGCTAGACATAAACAGGAGGCAGAAAATTCAGCTGCTGGGTTTTGGGCAGGAGAATCTCTTTTCCCCACTGCTGTCAAGATCTGAGCCACCTTTTTTATTTTGTGTTCTGTTTGCAAGTACGGGGATGTTCTCTCTGCTTCTAAGGAAATAACAGTTTCTGTATCACACATTTACTGAATGTACATGTGTTTTTGCCAAGCTATTTACCAGCTTAATGAAGACTGAATTAAGTCAGAAGATAGCAACTTTGGTCAAGTTCCATTAACAGTTCAAGTTCCATGGCAGCTTCTTAGGCAACACAGCATTCCTCATTCTCAAGTTTGAGAGGTTTCATTAGTCAAAGACACCAGTACAAATTAAGATCAGACCAGCCAATTTTACTCATCTGATACTAGTGATAAGTGGGATGCCAACATAGTTCTAGGTATTGTTTTAGAAGATACTGGATTTCATTACAGCCTTTAAGTCTTTTATGGACAGAAGTACATACACTAACAAGTTCAGCTCTTGGTGGGGACACAGGACAGGGAAACAAAACAATAGTCCAGAAAGTTTACTGAACAAGAAAGCCTACCTGTATGTGATGAGGTCGAAAAAGAAACTGCCTGTTCAGGTTGGATTTCTCTATCAAGTCTGGATCTGTAATTGTAACCTAAGTCAGAAGGGGCAAAAGCAACAGCTGAAGTTACAATTTAAGTGTAGCACTGAGCAATAGCCTTGATGAAATCTATGCAGAAACTTGTCAAAACAAAGCACTGCTGTTGGCACCCACTGTCGCTAACAGCTCTGCCTATACTAAGTTTTGTTTTAAAAACAAAATACAGCAAGACTGCTCCAAGTGTGTTCTACAGAGTGGCTGGAAAGCTGCCTGGCTGAAAAGGACCTGGGG